TATGCGTGTGCCTAGGACAGTTGCTACCAAAAAAGAACATTCAAAGAGATTTTGTCAAAGGTCTCGCAAAATTTGCATTCATTATATTCCGTGAAGTAACCTACAAGAACTTCGATCTGGTCGAAGGATCTGAGAGTAGCTGTTGTCTTCAGCAAAATTATGGTCCCCTATGCAGCTGCTATGTTCTTGAATCATGTCTTATAGCATCTCAGTTTTGATATTACAAGTTTTACAACTGGAAGATGTTGCATTTTCGTAAATTCTTTCACGAAGGAAATGTGTTGTTTGTTACATATTTTCTAGCCTAGGCTTCGGCAAAACTGTTATGCTAAATAGTGTGTGTCTATCCAAACTCAACTTTGCCTTTGTTTCAAATGAATTATGCTCAAGTTATGTAGTATTGTCTTTGTATATTCAAGCTTCGGCCTTCAGGTTATGGCATCCATCAATGAACTCATACAGTTCCTGTCATCCGAGTTTCCTGTGGAAGACATTACTGACGAGTGCGTGTCATTGATGTAGGATATGTAGCGTCTCAGATCTTTCTTTGCTAAAAAAGGTAACTGGAGATGTGGTACCAATTATTTTCAGTGCGATAAGTGGCTACAACAACTTTACTTCCATTTCAAATGGTTTCACCCCAGCTTTCTTCAGTGAGGATGATCTAGTTGAAAAACGTATTCAGTCATGTGAGTTCCATCACTGCCCATTCGTGTTGTGCAATTTATTTGCTCTTTTTAGTGCTTGCTAAACTTGCAACTTTTGAAGAAGAGTGTGATGATCCGGATATATGGGATGAAATGGCTAAAATCAACGTGTCGGGAAGACAGCTTTGTATCCTTCTGTGGTTCCCTATAGAATGGGCACTTACTGACTGGTAGGCGGTAGACATTATTGCCATTTCTCAGTATACTGCTTCAGTGATCCTAGTTCACTAAAAACGGGAGCTTTGGCGGCTTGCGCTTACATCCGTCTCGCGAGTATCAAAGGGTCCAGGATTCAGAGGATATTCGATCACCAACTATATAAGGTTTAAATTTTACCAGCGCCTGAGTGCTACTACTTTTTGAAAGGCCATTTCAGAAATGCCTTCACTTATTCCGTGCATTGTATAATTTGCACTGCAGTATGCAAGGATCTGCAAAGCT